TTGGAGAGGTTGATTTGCTCAAGGTTCTGCAGATGGTGGGTTCTGGAGCAGCAAGAGAGGCCAGCCTGAGGGGCTCAAATTCAGAAGATGGGAGTGGTTCCAGCCTATTCTGGAAGTGGCCCCTGAGCCGACACTTAGAAGTGCAGGGCTGGGGGAGAGCTTAGGGAGGTTTCGCAGGTTTGTAGAGTTGGGGGGGATGCTCCTTGGAAATAAAAAGATTTCCAGGCCCCTCCCCTGGAGGTTCTGATCCTGTTACCTGTCATTAATCAGTGATTTGATTAATGAGGGAAGTTGGACACAGTTCATTAACTTAATTAAGATATAGTGGGAGATAAAGCATCTAACACCTAATTATTTGTAGTATTGGAAAAACTGTTCTTAAAGAATCTACAGTGTTCATTCTCTGTTTAATGTGATGCTAGAGGAATTTTATGAGCATGGTGTAAAATTATTAGCTGCTTATAGAAAAACAGATTATTATTTRTGAGAAGAAAATGTGATATTTTTCTAAAATTTAAAATATCTTTCTTTACTCTAACAAATTGCTTTAAAAATGAAGAAAGGCTAACTTTTTAAAGAGGCCTAAAGCACTTTTTATTTTGGAATGGAATCTTAAGTAATTTTTAACATTTGAGACTTTGGTGAGAATAAGTAYATACGTTTTGCCAGAAAAATGTAAGATAACTATTAAATGTGACTTCAACTTTTTTTAATAATATCATTTCTCTGATTTTAAAAGTAGTCCCTTTTTTTGGTTTGTTTGTTTTTTTGGTCACAATGCTGATGGAAGTRGTTGTTCCCTTCTTTCCTTGCTTCAAATTCCTGGCCCATTACTACTTTGTTCACTTTAAGTTGGCAAGGCTGCTGCCTATCAAAAAACAAAATGAACAAAATCACACGAGACCGCCTCAGTGTCCTGCTGAAACCGGTAGGTCGCCACCCATGCCCTCCCTCCTTTGGTCCTTCCTTCCAGTTTTCAAGAAGAGGTGTTGAGGGAGGTCATATCCTTCATTCTTCGACTCAGGAGCCGTCTCTGCCTGCCTCCTCAAGGACCTCCCTTTCCATCGTCCTTTTACAAACTGGTCTCCTGTTGAGGAGTGTAGGAATCACTTTTAGGGAGAAACTCGTGGATTTCCAGAGATGGCTTCAATTTTTTATAATCTTAAGTAAACATATGGAATATGCTTTATAGTTTTAAGATAAAACCAATTTTATAAATCAATACAATTAAGCTATAAAATAAAATTCAACAGTTGTTATATAATTATACAAAAAGCACATTTAGAAAGTATTACAAATAAAGCCATAAAGCCTAGTTTCAGATCCACAGCCCAGTGGTGCTAGGGCAGTGGGTTAGGTTGCTGAAAAGTCAAAGAAAGAACCTGGAGATGGTGTGTGAGACATAATTTACTCCCAAAGGCTGAGGAGGTAGCCCCTCTGTCCCTCACGGTACCTTGCCATCCCTCACAGCATTGCTCCAGAAAGCAGTGTGTCCATCCCTCACTGAGCAGTAACACCAGTGGGATGAGTGACATGCACACTCTCCCTCTGTATTGAGCTTCACGTTAGCTACTACAAGGAAGAGGTCTTTTATAAGTTAGTTGGTAGAAGCAGTGCCGTTGTTAGTGGCTTAGTTTGCTTTCTTCCTTGTATGGCCATCATTCCAAGGAGTGGCTGTTCTGGTGTTCATGGAAGCAGGCGCTTTTTACAGATAACATTAACTTGTTCAAGTTCCTAGCATTCATGAGAAAAGGCAGTGTCCTCCAAGGTAGTACTTACTCAGGCATACTGGCCTGGGCCTACTCTCTTGGTTCCCTTGACTTGGCTGGGGAACTGGGGACCAAAGGGCATCTCAGGAACATGGTATTATTTTGTTGCCATCCTTCTTTAAGGATGACACACAGGAAATCCAAATGTACATAATTTAAAGTGACAAATGAAACTAAATTGTCTGCTACTGCCCAGGTTCTTGAGTTCTTCATGCATAATCACTATAAGAGCACACGATGACCCATTAGTCTTCTCTGTTGGAAACATCCCTTAATAAGATAAATTAAGACTTCCTCTAAGAAATTTGCTGAGGCCCCACATGTGCTAGCTTGGTTTTCTCTGGGTATTTTGTTAGAAACCTGCATTTATAACCAACCCTGTGTCTCCATCTGCCCATCTAGTTTAGTTGAATCCCCAGCACCCATCCTTTGAAATCATAAAATAATATTATATCCTTTATTACTTTATTACCTGATGGATTACTCTTTGAAAATATTTCTATTTAAAATAAAAATATTAATCATTATATCAATAAAAGTATACTTAACTTTCTCCATTTTTCTTTAGATCACCTTCAGATTTCACTCTTCTGAACTTTCAAAATTTTATTTACTTTCTTTATTTCCTCAGACTGGATTTCTAGTAGTTTAATTACAGTAGTCCTTTATCCTAGGGAATATGCTCCAAGACCCCCAGTGGGTCCCTGAAACATCAGATAGGAGTGAACTCTATGTGTGTTGAATATGCCTTATTGAAAATGCTTGGGTCCAGAAATGTTTTGAATTTGGGATTTTTGAAATCAAATTTTGAAATATATGTATATACATAATAATATTTCTTAAGTTTAAACATAAAATTCACTTTTGTTTCATAAACATATACATAGTCAGAATATAATTTTAAGTAATACCTTTAGTGTGCTAGTGTTTTGACTATGACCTGTAAATAAGGTCAGCTGTGGAATTTTCCCTTGTGGTGTCCTATTGGGGTCAGAAAGTTACGGATTTTATAGCACTTTGGATTTTGGATTTTCAGACTAAAGATGCTCAATCTACATATACTATGTGTTTTCCTATTCATATGTATTCAATTTAATAAAGTTAAATYTGTAAATTAGCCACAGTAAGAGATTAAAAGCAGCAATAATAAAATGGAACAACTATATCAGTATATTTTAATAAGCATTATATGAATGTGGTCTCTCTCAAAATATCTTATTTGCCTTTATTCACCCTTCTTGTTGTGATGAGATGACAATGTTTTATGTGATATTGTGAAATATATATTTGGTTTTCATCTGTGGTTCCTGGCTTACAACCCCCTTCTCATGTTGAGTCTTAAAAACTCTTCATCTTCCCCAACTTTTCTATCTTGGATTTGGCTATAAGAAATTCTCAGACCTATTATCCTTGTCTGATAGAAGGCCATAAGATCCTTTTCATTCCAAAGAGGTCCTGTCCCTTACCTGGGAGGAAGAAGGGCTGGGTTTCCCCAACCAGTCTGTTAGTAGTCATGCCTGTGAAGGGCAGTGTTTGGAGAGTTTCCAGAGTTTCCACATGGAGGTTCCTGGAGGGTGGCACACCCAGAGAGGTCATGGAAACACCATGCCCTTTCTCTCAAACTTCACCCTGTGCATCTCTTCATCCATATCYTGGGTAATTATCTTTATAATAAACTAGTAAACATAAGTATTTTTCCTGAGTTCTGTGAGCCACTCACACAAATTATTCCAACCTGGTGAAGAGGTTGTAAAAATCTCAATTTATAGATGGGGAAAACAACCTGAGGCTTGCAAGTGCCATATATGTGGGGAGGCATGCAGGGGTTCAATCTAGGGAACTGAGCCCTTAATTTGTGAGATGACCCTATCTCCAGGCTGTATTAGAGGATGCCCCACTGATGTCCACTGCTGCAGAATTGATTGCTTGCTGATGGGGAGAGATCCCACAACTTTGGAGGTCTGTATTGATAGCAGTGGGAAAAACAGTACTCCCTTCGTCCCACACAGAGTGATGAGGTGAGGTGAATGACTTAGGTATTATGACCCATTAGCCTACTGCTTACCTTTTTWAAAAATTTTTTATTTTTTAAAAAATATTTTTTAATTATTTATTTTTGGGGGGGCGACCTTCTTACTTGAAAACAATTACATGACAAGCAGCTACTAAGTGACATAGGGCTATTACCATATACAGTGTGCATACACTGGACAAAGATTCATGACCCAGGTGGGACATAGAACTGAATGAGATTTCATCATTTTGCTTGGAATGGTGTGATATTTAAAACTTACATATTGTTATTCACTTCTGGAACTTTTAATTTAATATTTTCTGGTCTTGGTTGACTTCCAGTAACTGTGAAAAAGGGAAACAGATGAGAAGGCTATTGTCCTGAGTCCCGAGGAGAAAATTTCAGGTAATGATTTCTTGGTTAGCTTTTTATGCCAATTAGCCATCTAGCCATTAACAAGCCTCAAGACCTCTCTAACTCTGTTTGCTTATTTGTATATGGAGAAAATATTTACTTTATTGTGTGCAAATACTTAGCATGGTATATAAGTAGAACAGGTACATAACCTAAGCAATGGTTGACAGTCAGTGATAGCTATTATTTTGTGCTTTCAAAAATATTTGATGTAGATATGCACAAATGACATATCAAATTAGCCAGTCTACTCTTCCAACCTCAGTGAGGAGAACAACTTAGATTATAAAATTGTGTGTTAGAAAACAAAATCATCACCCGTTTGAAGCACTCTAAGTACCTGCTTGGCAGAAACGTAAAACTGTTTCCAAGTGCTGCACATACAGACATAGGGCAACTAGTGAGCGCATCCACAGGTCGCCTAGAGGTGCTCAGACCCGTCCGTTCCGTGAAGGGACGCAGCGTCCCTAAGGCAAGATCGTTTCCTCTACTTGTAAACGGACCGAGCCGGGCGCCTCTGCGGCTCGGTTCTGCATCGAAAACCCGCCCCAGTGCGAACAGGAAACGGTGTGATACGCTGTGCAGCCCCCAGGGGCGAACGCTAAGGGGAAAAGGAGCGGTGACGTCTCAGCGGTCCCCTTGCAGCCACCGAGACACGCTCGCGGAGAGTCAGCTCCTAGCCCAGTTCGAGCCCGGGCGTGCTCCGCGGGAGGCTTCCTCGTCGCCCCGGCAACCCGCGTCTCCACCAATGGCAGCAGCGCGGCGCGGTCACGTGGCCCCGCCCTTCCCCGGCGGCAGCAACATGGCGGCCGCTGCGGGCGGTGGCGGCGGGCTGTGAAGGGCCTCAGCGGCGGCCGTGCATCCCTCACGATGGCTTCGCSGACCTTGGGGGCCTCGCGTGGAAGCCCGGACGCGCTCCCCGCAGGTTCCGCTTCGCAGGAAGACGAGGAGGGCGATTCTGCAGACTGGACGGGCTCCTCGGGCTCCTGCGCCTCGGCCAGCGGCTCTTCCGAGTGAGTGCAGAGGGGGACGGTGGGCAGCCCAGGGCGCAAGTGCCGGGCGGCCCGAGCGGGACCTCGGCGACCCTGGGGTCTGAGCCAAGTCCGCTCCCGCCGGTTCCGCGCCTTGGAGGGCGCCTCTGCGGAAGGTTCTGGAAACGGCCCCTGTGAGGCTGCGCCCTTCTCGATGCCGGGTCCTTGCGCCCCAGCCGCCTGGGTGTGTGGGATGCGGATACCACGCGGGTTTTACAAGGCAGCGATGAACTGTGCAGGTTTTCCTCCCGCCGTGGAAAGAGTAGCTGTGTGTAGTCACCCACCTGCTCCAGGATAGCCTCCTCCAGGATGATAGCCTCCCTCCAGGATGATAGCCTCCCTCCAGGATGATAGCCTCCCTCCAGGATGATAGGCTCCTCCAGGATGATAGCCTCCCTCCAGGATGATAGCCTCCCTCCAGGATAGGCTCCTTCGAGGATCAGAGTGTTTGTGCTGTGTTTTATGCATCCTCCTGGTTTCCTGTTTTGTCATAAGTTAATTTTCAAAGTGTTCTTTCCACGTTTTTATCCTTAATAATACCAGAGAAAGTTATTTTGATTTTCAATACCCAATGCTATTTCATTTTTTTATTCTAATTTGTTATTTATGAAAGCAGAATGCAACAGGGTTCATACTACACATATAGAGCACGATTTTTCATATCTCTGGTTGTACACAAAGCAGAGTCACACCATTCGCCGTCTTCATACATGTACTTAGAGTAATGATATCCATCTTGTTCCACCACTTTTCCTACCCCTATGCCTTCTCCCATCCCTCCTCCCCTTTGCCCTATCTAGATTTTGTCAATTCCTCCCATACTCCCCCTCCCAACCCCATTATGAATCAGTCTCAGAGAAAACATTCAGAGAATATATATCAGAGAAAACATTCAGCATTTGGTTTTTTGGGATTAACTAACTTCACTTAACATTATATTCTCCAACCCCATGCATTTACCTGCAAATGCCATGATTTTATTTTCTTTCATTGCTGGGTAATATTCCACTGTGTATATATGCCACATTTTCTTTATCCATTCATCTACTGAAGGGATTCTAGGTTGGTTCCACAGTTTAGCTATTGTGAATTGTGCTGCTATAAACATTGAAGTGGCTGTGTCCCTGTAGTATGCTGATTTTTAAGTCCTTTGGGTATAGACCTAGGAATGGGATAGCTGGGTCAAATGGTGGTTCCATTCCCAGTTTTTCAAGGATTCTCCATACTGCTTTCCATATTGGCTGCACCAATTTGCAGTCAATGTATGAGCGTGCCTTTCCCCCCACATCCTTGTCAACACTTACTATTGTTTGTATTCTTCATAGCAGCTATTCTGACTGGAATGAGATGAAGTCTTAGAGTAGTTTTGATTTGCATTTCTCTAATTGCTAGAGATAGTGAACATTTTTTCATATATTTGTTGATTGATTGTATATCCTCTTCTGAGAAGTGTCTGTTCAGGTTCTTGGTCCATTTATTGATTGGGTTATTTGGGTATTTTTTGGAGTTTAGCTTTTTGAGTTCTTTATATACCTTAGAGATTAGTGTTCTAATCTAATTAGTGTTCTAATCTGTTGTTCAAATGGTAAAAATTTGCTTCCATTCTGTAGGCTTTCTCATCACCTCACAGATTGTTTATTTTACTGAGAAGAAGGTTTTCAGTTTGAATCTGCCCCATTCATTAATTCTTGATTTTAATTCTTGTGCTATAGCAGTTTTATTAAGGAAGTGGGGGCCTAATCCGATATGATGAAGATTTGGGCCTACTTTTTTTTCTATTAAATGCAGGATCTCTGGTTTAATTCCTAGGTCCTTGGTCCACTTTGAGTTGAGTTTTGTGCGTGGTGAGGGATAGGGGTTTAATTGCTGTTTCATTTTTGAAGGAATCTATTCTATGGATGAAGAACTTTTTGGAAAAGCCAATCAGTACAACTTGAAACACCTAAGGGTGAAAGGTTTAGGCACCAAGAGTCACCAAGCTGATAAGGGACTGCAATACATATTTTTAGGATGGCATTTTATGGGTAGTTAGGAATAACAGTTACAAATAAGTAAGAATTACTCCTAAATTATTTTCACTTATCATAATTATAACATTTTTATTACTGTCTTTGTAAGTGTGTGGGGAAAGCCTGTTTAATACATCCTAGAAACTTAAGGATAGGTTGTAGTCTTGAAAATTTGAACAAATTTAAGAATATCAATTTTTTGTAATCTCTTTGTGCCCCCCTTTTAAATATTGTTTTAGTTGTAGATGGACACAATACCCTTATTTTATTTATTCATTCATTTTATGTGATGCTGAGGACCGAACCCAATGCCTCACATGTGTGAGGCAAATACTCTACTGCTGAGCCACAACCCCCGCTCCCCTTTGTGGCCTTTTAAAAAAAGCAGTACAGGGGATTGCAACCAGGGCCTCATGCAAGTTATGCAAGCACTGTACCACAGAGCTTTATCTTGAGCCCATTTTATATTTTGAGACAGTGTCCTTTTAAGTTGCCTAGGATGGCCTTGAACTTGTGATCCTCCTGCCTCAGTCTCCCAAATAGCGGAGATTGTACTTGTGTACTACTGTGGTCATTTAAAAGTAATTTAAAAACTCGTGGTTATTAAGCGAGGCTGCTGGAAGGAAGTAAAGATTACATGGAACCTTATTTGGTCCTTATATAGAAGCAATAGACAGGTTGAGACTTCAGCTTTTGGTTTCTCCACATCTCGGAGTCATACATGTTAGTCTAGAGATAATATGTCATTTCCCATAGTTACACACAGCTGAGTGTTTCATTATAGAAACTCAGGACACCTGATTTCTAATGGAGCYCCATGCACTTGGTGGTATGAAAATAAATGAGCTTAACTCAGTTTCTTCAGAATGTGCAATCTGAGGACCTTGTGCTAGGGTAATGTCTTACTTTTTAAGTATTCCATTTTCTGGAATACATTATCTATGTATGATATTTTAGTTTTTAAAAACAATCATTAAGATTTCTACAGTAGTCATTTACTATTCACTCTAATGTTTTGTCTTTCAATAGAAAAAGTACAGTAAATCCCTATTGGAGGCTGGACACTGTGGTGCACACCTGTGATCCCAGCGGCTTGGGAGGCTGAGGCAGAATGATCTCAAGTTCAAAGCCAGGCTCAATAAAAGTGAGGTGGAAGCAACTCAGTGAGATCCTATCTCTACATAAAATACAAAATAGGGCTGGGGATGTGGCTCAGTGGTTGAGTGCCTCTTAATTCAATCCTTGGTACCTCCCCCACAAAAAAAATCTGTATCAAAAATATTTTTCTGGTCTCCGTTGAGTTCTATCAAGATTCAGATATTATGTCTTTTCTTTCTTTCTTTCTGTACTGGGGATTGAAGTGTTTTTGTATTTTATTTAGAGACAGGGTCTCTGAGTTGCTTAGTGCCTCGCCATTGTGGAGGCTGGCTTTGAACTTGCAATCCTCCTGCAATCCACAGGGATTACAGATGTGCACCACTGGGCCCAACTGTCTGTCCTTTCTTGATGTATATGACTTAAAGGTTAGGTTTCTCTYTTGGTATTTGGTGTCCACCTCCCTAATCTGCAGTCACCAGTGCAGACAGCCTTCCTACCTTGGACAGAACCAGCATTTGCTCAGAAGCATACCAGTGTGAATCTTAATCAAAGGGAGATGAATTGCCCATTATCTTTTATGGTCTATATGAAGCTGACTAAGGAAGTTATATTACACATTGATTCACATAAATAATCCTGAAATTTCAAAATTCTAGTTAATAATCTGTATGTTCTTTTTGGAAATTATCATTTTTTTCACATATGCTTTGTAACTAAAAATCAGTTTTGAACTGCATATGATTGTCAACATTATTGTTTGGTGGATAAAAATATTGTTTGGTGGATAAAAATCACCTTAGGTACATCTGTAGAGTTCTTACAGGCTTACTATAGAGGAGGAAGGTTGGCACACGGGTATGTCCCTGAGGAGGCTGCGGAGGTAATACTGGTGGGTGGGTTGGAAGAAGGAACCCTTGACTGGTGTCAGTATTGAGATAGCAGAAATCAAGCATTTACTTGGCAACAATGCCGAGTTTCTTAGCTTTGGCTGTAGTTACCCGACTCATTGAAGAAACATGAGCATAGTTGATGTTGGCCTGACATTGCCCAGTTTTCTGACTCAGATTTTCGGTGTTTCAAWGTGAATTTTTTTACTATTGTTATGTTAGTTGCAAAACTTTGGCTGATGAAGAGAGAAAAATAACTGTAAAAGAGATTTTAGCTGAGAAAAACTAAGGAACTTCTATCTAAAATGAGATTGACTACAGAAGAAAGCAAATATCTCAAAATTTTTTCAGAGATTTTTTAACAGCTCTCTTGAATTATCATTTATATAGAAAAAATTGCACACAACAGTTTTCATTTTGACATATATACATCTTCCAGGATAATGAACATATTTGTCTCACCCACTAGTTTCCCTATGCACCTCCCTAAGAGCACACATGCCCCCTCACTCTTCACAGTCACTAACTTGTTTTCTCTCATTATATATCAGTTTGTATTTTCTAGCATTTTATAAAAACGAAATCATCCAGCATAGAGAGGTTTTTTTTTTTTTTTTTTTTTTTTTTTTTGGTTTTTTTTTTTTTTTTTAACTCAGCAAAATTGAGATTCATCCATTTTGTTGCTTGTAAGGGTTGTTCCTTTCTTTGAGTAGAATTCCATTGTTGGAATATAGCAAAATTTATCTTTTTCTTGGATTTTGGCATGGGAATGTACTGCTCACATGTTTTCAGATCGGACAGTGTCCAGTCCTGTTGACCTCCTTCCTGTACCCCCACCCCACCCCCCGCCATTCCCACAGCAATACCTTGCTTAAGGGGCTTCCTCTCCTGTGTCTCACTGAGTACCTTCCCTTGGATCTGGATGCCTCTTATTTTTGTTTCCAGTTGGTCTTCCATACAGCTACCAGAGTTTCAAACACAATTTTAA